GCCATATATCTCGCAGTCGTCGTCAATGTTCTCCAACTCATCCAACACTATATCACAGGCCCTACAGCTCGGCTTATCTGTACATTATATGTGAGATTCACTATTAGATACATATTTTATTTTTTGAGTATAAAATTATTTTAAAAGTTTATTTTGTTATTTGTTGAATAATTAAAGTGTTTATGTAATTAACCCTTAAGTGCCTAAATTAGTATATTAGCATGCACAGAATAATTATTTTAAATTTTGAGTTACAAATTATTTTAAAATGCTGTTTGAGTTCACTATTAAACCTGTAATTATATAATAGTTTTAATGCTAATTTTATTAACAAGTTTTAATAAGTTTTCAAAAAAAGTAAATTTATTTGATTTATAAAATAAAGTTTTACGCATTGAGTGAAAAGTACGTACAGAAGAAGACCACCAAATACTGTGTCGTCTCAATGAGCTGTTCCAGGAGTTCCCGGTTCACAGACTCGATGGTGTCCTCAGTCTTCTGTTGGACGAGCCATTGAAGGACGTCCTCCTCGGCCCTCATGTCTCCCTCGTATATACTGGGGATCTGGCGCTCGAAGTATATGAGCGCCGGTAGCAGTTTAATGCCGTACTCGCGCGCTATCTCCGACTCCGCCGTTTTAACGACTAATTGCAGGGAACGGGAGGTTATGAATAGTATTTAGAAAATTTTTGTATGACTTAAAGCTATATACTATTTTAAACTGGCTCAATTATTGAACAATTAGGTTATTTTCCATATTGAATTAACCTTAATATAGTAATATATTAATTTAATGAGAAATGTTCTGTCTACTATTTATTTAATAAAATGTTATCTAACGTTAATCTGTAAGGGAAAGCCTATAATTATTGATATAATTACATATAATCCCGTGTCTATCGGTGTCTGAGTCGATGTTCTCCAGGTCCTCGAGCACTGCCTTACACTCCATACAGTCGGGTGAGTCTGTGGGGGAACGGGAGGCACAAGTAAGCAGAGGTTAGTGAAAGGTTTTCAGTGGGAAACTGACAGTGAAATTGGTTTTTAATTACATTATTAATGATAACTACTGGTTATTAACGTAATTAACGTTACGATAGAGTAGAAAATAAGAGAATTAATATTAATATGAGTTTAAGATTTGAGACATAAATAGGTAACAAAAGTTAAAGTAAAATACAATTGCAAGAACAAAGCATTGACTAAATAGTGATAGTTATACAAATAACATAGATAAGTTTAATTTTTACATTTATATACATTACATATACGGAATATTAAGTGCTATAATATAGAAATTTTAATAATTTTTGAGTACATGTAAAGAATATCTGAGATGATTTTTAACTATATTTTAGGTTTTATTTATTTTTAAGTAAAAGTTTTTTGTTTGTTTTTTATTTATGTAGTTTTAACTTTAATTTGAATCCTCTTTCTCTCTCTCCGGCAATTTTGTGAAAGTTTTAATCTGTATTTTTACATTATTTTACATTTTTGTGACAGATATAATGTGATTACTATTAAAATATATGGGAAAATGCTAGGATTAAGTTTTGTTATAAATTATTTTATTTTAAAGCTTATTTATATTCAGTGAAATTGTTCATAAAATTACAATTCTTTGAATATATAAATATATGATTATAATATTTAGTTGTATTTATTTAACAGTCAATAAACTATTTTTAAAATCATATTTTAGTTTTACTTAAAAAAAATAATTCGCCAGGTTACCCTGGTATTTTTAAGGAGCCCTGACCTTATCTAAAACTCGAGTTTTCTATCATAATAGTATTATAGAAATTATTTGCATTAATAAACTATTTTTACAATTTAAATCAAAACAATAAAGTTTCTATAAAAAGTATATAAAAAGCACAAATGTATCAGTATAAATTTGATGCAACCTAAAATCAATTTTGAGTGTCCATTAAAATTTTTAATTAATTTTTAAGCACTATACACAATTTTGCATTTAGTCTACTAATAAATGATTGATTGAGTTAAAAGTACATTTCATTTAAACTGTAAGAAAATGGTTTGCAATCAATTGANATGAATGTTTGAATACATAAACACATGTGAAAACACCAGTCAATTGATTGCAAACCATTTTCTTACAGTTTAAATGAAATGTACTTTTAACTCAATCAATCATTTATTAGTAGACTAAATGCAAAATTGTGTATAGTGCTTAAAAATTAATTAAAAATTTTAATGGACACTCAAAATTGATTTTAGGTTGCATCAAATTTATACTGATACATTTGTGCTTTTTATATACTTTTTATAGAAACTTTATTGTTTTGATTTAAATTGTAAAAATAGTTTATTAATGCAAATAATTTCTATAATACTATTATGATAGAAAACTCGAGTTTTAGATAAGGTCAGGGCTCCTTAAAAATACCAGGGTAACCTGGCGAATTATTTTTTTTAAGTAAAACTAAAATATGATTTTAAAAATAGTTTATTGACTGTTAAATAAATACAACTAAATATTATAATCATATATTTATATATTCAAAGAATTGTAATTTTATGAACAATTTCACTGAATATAAATAAGCTTTAAAATAAAATAATTTATAACAAAACTTAATCCTAGCATTTTCCCATATATTTTAATAGTAATCACATTATATCTGTCACAAAAATGTAAAATAATGTAAAAATACAGATTAAAACTTTCACAAAATTGCCGGAGAGAGAGAAAGAGGATTCAAATTAAAGTTAAAACTACATAAATAAAAAACAAACAAAAAACTTTTACTTAAAAATAAATAAAACCTAAAATATAGTTAAAAATCATCTCAGATATTCTTTACATGTACTCAAAAATTATTAAAATTTCTATATTATAGCACTAAATATTCCGTATATGTAATGTATATAAATGTAAAAATTAAACTTATCTATGTTATTTGTATAACTATCACTATTTAGTCAATGCTTTGTTCTTGCAATTGTATTTTACTTTAACTTTTGTTACCTATTTATGTCTCAAATCTTAAACTCATATTAATATTAATACTTTTATTTTCTACTCTATCGTAACGTTAATTACGTTAATAACCAGTAGTTATCATTAATAATGTAATTAAAAACCAATTTCACTGTCAGTTTCCCACTGAAAACCTTTCACTAACCTCTGCTTACTTGTGCCTCCCGTTCCCCCACAGACTCACCCGACTGTATGGAGTGTAAGGCAGTGCTCGAGGACCTGGAGAACATCGACTCAGACACCGATAGACACGGGATTATATGTAATTATATCAATAATTATAGGCTTTCCCTTACAGATTAACGTTAGATAACATTTTATTAAATAAATAGTAGACAGAACATTTCTCATTAAATTAATATATTACTATATTAAGGTTAATTCAATATGGAAAATAACCTAATTGTTCAATAATTGAGCCAGTTTAAAATAGTATATAGCTTTAAGTCATACAAAAATTTTCTAAATACTATTCATAACCTCCCGTTCCCTGCAATTAGTCGTTAAAACGGCGGAGTCGGAGATAGCGCGCGAGTACGGCATTAAACTGCTACCGGCGCTCATATACTTCGAGCGCCAGATCCCCAGTATATACGAGGGAGACATGAGGGCCGAGGAGGACGTCCTTCAATGGCTCGTCCAACAGAAGACTGAGGACACCATCGAGTCTGTGAACCGGGAACTCCTGGAACAGCTCATTGAGACGACACAGTATTTGGTGGTCTTCTTCTGTACGTACTTTTCACTCAATGCGTAAAACTTTATTTTATAAATCAAATAAATTTACTTTTTTTGAAAACTTATTAAAACTTGTTAATAAAATTAGCATTAAAACTATTATATAATTACAGGTTTAATAGTGAACTCAAACAGCATTTTAAAATAATTTGTAACTCAAAATTTAAAATAATTATTCTGTGCATGCTAATATACTAATTTAGGCACTTAAGGGTTAATTACATAAACACTTTAATTATTCAACAAATAACAAAATAAACTTTTAAAATAATTTTATACTCAAAAAATAAAATATGTATCTAATAGTGAATCTCACATATAATGTACAGATAAGCCGAGCTGTAGGGCCTGTGATATAGTGTTGGATGAGTTGGAGAACATTGACGACGACTGCGAGATATATGGCATTAATTTTGTCAAAATACAGGACATACCGCTCGCCAAACGCTACGGCATAAAGACATACCCGGCCCTCATCTACTTCCGCAATGGAAATCCACTCATATATGACGGTATGACTCCTACAATACATATAATTATCGCCGCATTTATTAGAAAAAGAAATTTCTTAACGAAACAAAAGTCTAATTAAAATTAAAACAAAAAACTTTCCAAAAAAACAAAAAATATAACTAAAGTCTCACGTATTTCACAAAACATTTTGATACTACCGGCGCTGTGCCACCACTTTCCCACAACCCTTGGAGGTGCGATCAATAAATAGATACATGGGTGGTTATAGAAACTCATTTGTATCTGGGTAGTAATATTACCTGAACATTTTGTACGCACCACTCGACTTATGTACCAAAATTAATATTACATTTTTACTGAAATGGTGGGCACCGGTAGGCGACCTCCGGAACGAGGAGGCGGTACTCGAATGGCTGATCGACGACGACAACCGGGAGTTGGCCGACGAGATCGAGGACGTGAACGCCCGGATGCTGGAGAAGCTCATTGACGACAGCCCTTTCCTGGCCGTACTTTTCTATGATAACGACTGCGATGAGTGTCAGGATGTGCTCAAAGAGCTCGAGGTATGGTATGCCATGGGACAGACACATTAAAACTTTGACATATATTAGCGCACATTCCCATACAAATCGTGAATTTAGTTCACGTATTAATTAGTATAATATATTTTGATAACATTTGTGTTCATTATAATGTTTAGTAACAAGTTTTATAAATCAATTAACGAATCAGGTATGTGGTCAGGTATGTGGTCAGGGATGATCTCATTTACATATCCTAAGGTTATGATGATTTCAAAAGTGTTGTTTTATTTGTTACCGACTCGTGAGAGATAGTATGCAAAAATATTATAAGTGAAAGTTATGGTAATCCAAAAGTCATTTACTATTATTCTCTTTATGTCTCATATTATTTTTGATGTCATAATTTATATGTAAATAAATATAAACATGGAATATATTCAGTTGAATATAAATTTTTTCACATTTGAATTGTTTTCCTATATAAAGTCATAAACCCTTTTATACACAATATTAATATTCTTATATTTATTCATGCATTCATTAATATATAAACTTTTCCCGAGGAATATCACAAGTTTAGTCAATATTTGTATAATTTGTGGACAAGTTTGAAATATTGGATAATATTTATTACTAAATATTTTTTAGACAAATAGTGGTTTCAAACATATTTGTATTGAGATTTATTATATAATGTATGCACACAAAAAACAGTAATTATTTTCAAAGCAAACACAAAAATAAGTTTTATTTTTCTGAATAAAATATTATTTTTATTCTCCAAAGTGGAGAGAGAGAGAGAGAGAGAGAGAGAGAGAGAGAGATCCTAGTTATCTAGGGAAAGTTGTCTCTGAAATTCATGAATTATTAAGTGATTCAAAAAAATTATGATAAACGAGTGGATAATACAAACGCAACACTAAAACCCTAAACAAACATAGAGTGAGAGTAGAAGTTATGGCAAAAAACGCGATTAATATATAAGTAGTTTGTTTTATACGACAAAATACATTCACTATAATAACGATCACATGAATTATAATTGTGTCGGACTTGACATTCACTCGCAATTGCATTAATCATTCATTATATTAGATATAATTTATATTAAAACGTAAACAACTGGCAAACCAAGGATGAGATGGTAGGGGAGCACTGGTAGGAGATTACCATAACTTTCACTTATAATTCTGTTTATATTCCTTAACCGAAAAAAATACTTCACATTTAATTTCACAGACAATTTCTCAACAAAAATAAAATAAGACAAAACCATCGACATCCCGTTCCCAGCAAATAGTCTCAGCGTTGACTATATGCAAATACCATAATCCCTGACCCCGTACCCGACCCCTAAGTGATTTATAAATACATATTTCTATTATAATATACATATAAAACCATCGACATCCCGTTCCCAGCAAATAGTCTCAGCGTTGACTATATGCAAATACCATAATCCCTGACCCCGTACCCGACCCCTAAGTGATTTATAAATACATATTTCTATTATAATATACATATATAAACATATTATACTAATTAAAACATAAATTTAATGCACCATTCGTTATGACACTGTATTTTGAATCTAATTTTGTGTTTGTTTTCTCTCTCTCCCTTTCCCACTGCCTATACCTACCTTTCCCTATGGGTGCCCTTACGATGATCCAGAACATTGACGATGACGCCGACCTTTTTGGCATCGACTTTGTGAAAGGTATCCAACATTTGTCTCATTGATTGCCATAATATACCCAAAAAACATTGATATTTAGCATACATTAGTTTATTAATGTAATTTGTTATTGAATTTCATTTGAGTTAATGTTTGCAGTCAAATATATTAAGATTATTGTATTGTTTTATGAATTATTACCACAAATAGTGTATACATTTGAGGCCATTATGTGTGGGAGTGTTAGTCAATAGGAAATATTATGCAATTGGAAAGGGATTAAAGTTATAAATAATATGCTTATAAGGTATGCCTGCAGTTATAAATTATTTTTATAATAAGCATTGTTTTATGTGTTAAAAAAATAATTCAACATTTTATTTAAATTTTATTCACCAAATTATTTGATTTAAACACATGAATATATTTGGAGAGCACTGACCTTAGGTAGATAAGCTATCCTAGATAGGCTAAGATAGCCCTTTCCCAATCATACCATTCCTATTGGGAAATTAGAAAATAAGCGAAATATTTGCTTATGTATGGTAACTATTGCACAAACTTTATGTCTATATTTATTGATTACAATTAAATATTTACTATTTATCATTATATGTTTTTTATGCAATTTTATGTCAAATATTGTTTACTAAACACACAAAACATATGAATTATTCATTAAATACAAACACAACGGCATTGAAACCACATTATTCTAATTGAAATCTCTCTCTCTCTCTCTCTCTCTCTCTCTCTCTCTCTGTCTCTCTCATGATTTATAAATACATATTTCTATTATAATATACATATTATACTAATTAAAACATAAATTTAATGCATCATTCGTTATGCCACTGTATTTTGAATCTAATTTTTGTGTTTGTTCTCTCTCTCTCTCTCTCTCTCTCTCTCTCTCTCTCGTAACCCCTTATCTCACCTCCTATTTCATGGCCACTACTATACCCCACACACGCACCTCCTCTACAGTGAACGACGATAAGGCTGCCCACAAGTACAACGTGCATACCTTTCCCACTCTGGCCTACTTCCGCAAACAGAGTCCAATCCTATACGACGGCGACCTCCAGGACGAGGAAAAGGTCCTCAAATGGCTGACCAGTAATGATGTCTTCGAGATCAAGGATGAGATCGAAGAAGTGAACCGAAAAATGTTGGATAAACTGCTCAATGATAACGACTTCGTGGCCGTCTATTTCTGTGAGTGTCTGTTCCCCATGTGATCCATACCTACCTGTGCTCTTGTATTATTTTGTCTTACAAATATCCTACTGTTTATAATTATAAATAATATGCTGCTCACACTATTAGTGTCAGGGATACCTCATTTGATGTGATATACTTTAACACATTATATAAATTTATACATTATATGTAATCATTATATAAGTAAGAGATGTCTGACATTATGAGGACAGGGATATCTGGAGGTGTTATAAATGTTTCATAGAAATGTTGAGAACTTTATTAGTTTTAATAATTGTTGTCAAATAAATATTACTTACTATTTATTTATATTTGGAGATGACTTTAAAAATTATGATTAAACTGAAACTAAAGTAATAAACATTTTTCGAGTTTACAAAACTAAATTGCTGTACAATTCCCAAAATTTTATTCCAAGTATTTATTCATTCATAATTTTATATATAGAGATATATGTTCGAGGTCCATGTTGCAGATATCCAGTAATAGAAATTATATATGATGTAGACATATTTTAAGTAAATAACATACAGGCCCTACAGAATGAGTCCCATATTATTACATAAAACTCCAGATTTTAAGACTTATATGGAGTCATGGATTAACTGATTCTCTATGGGATTAACAGATGAGAAGGACTGTTACGACTGCGAGGAAGTGTTGCATGAGTTGGAGCACATCGACGACGAGTGCGATGACCTGGACATCATGTTTGTCAAGATAAGGGACAGTCGGTACGCCAGGAAGTATGGCATCAGCGAAGTGCCGGCGCTCGTCATGTTCAGAAAAAAGTTTCCGGCTATTTATCGCGGTATATATTGCAGAATATTCTTTTGTTATTACTCCTATACCTACTATTACCAAGGGTACAGGTGTGGGAATGGGATGTTATGCATATACACA